AGATTGTTTCCTTTCTTGTGTAGTGATGAGAACAATTTTTAAAACATTGTGCTTTGCTCTCACGGGGCTGTTTTTCTCTGCAATGTATTCACCAGGCTGCAAAAGGAGGGGAAGAGTGTGGTTCCTTTGGGCATCCCTCGGACATCACCTGCTGAGGGTGTACCACTAGGACGCTGCCCAGTTTGTGCTTCTCTGCCACTCTGGTCCCCCTGGAGAGGAGAAGGTCACGTCTGTGCTATTGCCACCTCTCTTAGGTCTTCTACTTTGATAGCCTTGGCTTCAGATGACTTCAGTCCCGCAGCAGCTGAGCTCTGTAACAACTCTCTGGTTACTACCTCAGGGTAATGGGAGGTTTAAAAAATTACAAGTTTAAAATTAGAAGGTCAAAAATCTTTGCCCTTTTTTCATGATGTCCGTCACTTTCTAGCTGGTTCACTAATCCTTTTCTACAGAAAAAGTCTTCAGTGAGACACATGGGAATATCACAAAGTCCAGTTCTTGTAGCCAGACGTGGCTCCCCAAGGTGAGTGGTGGCAACTTCTGCTCACCAGCAGTTAGGTCCTGTCACTGCATCCAATTACTCTTTTGAGGAGACAGAACAGAGGCTAGTGCTCTTTCCTCCTCCCACCCAGGAAGGTGATTCATCCTAATCCATTTGTCCCCATATAAGTTTTAAGCATCCACAGTGCCCTGTGGCAGGAAGCTTCACAGCTCACCCACCTCTTACGTGAAGACTTTCCAATTGATCGCTTTGAATGTGTCCCCTGCGAAATACTGCTGTGCAGAGTGGAAAGCTGCCATCAGTCAGATGACTGGCAGCGGGTTTTACTTCTAATTTGTGATAGAGAAATATGATGTGACGTGCCACCTTGGGAAGGCTGCTGTCTGCCCTGAAGGAGGGGAGCGGGCTGGCTGATTAGCTCGTAAGGCCATAAAGCTCCAGCACAGGCACGTTTTGCCTTTCGGATGTGGCATTGATAAGGTTGGAGTACTCTGACACCACTGCATTTGATCAGACATCTGTAAAGGCGCTGTGACCCAGATGAGGTGATTAAAATGGAGAGGAGGTGAATGTAAATGAACTGAGCGGAATAATGCACCCCACGTGTGTCGTGGGATGTAAGACCATCTATAGCTTTCAGCAGCTGTGACAATTACAGGGTTTGGGCTGTGAAGAGACATGTCCCCAGCTAATACTTTTAGCCTCTATTGCTCATTGATCTGTCAGAACGAGGAGGCTGCGGGTATGAGGGATAACGAGCGGTGGTGAGATGCTGCTGCTTTGTTTCAAGCATGCTAACTTTGTTTCTTGATTTCTTCTAAGTAAAGCTGTGAGTTCTTGAAATAATTTGGATATATCAGTCAGGAACGGGTAATAAGGTCCTGTTGTGGCAGGTTAATCTCCCCTAGCAGTGCAGGTGGATCCATGCAACCCCCTCGGCGCATCAGAGTTGGATGGGAGGAGGTTCCTGATTCAAGCGCTGGCTGAGAACAGGGGCATTCGGTCTCTGGAGCATCATTTTGAACCTGAGGATGATCCCCAACTGGATTTCACACACCACACCCCCCATGAAGTTAGGATTTGACCAGCATGGGCATCAGGATCTTGCAGTGAAGGGGCATCCTTGGGAATTAAAGGAGGAAAAAAGAAACATCGGGGATGTCTTAAACATACTTGTGGTACAGCATTTGGAGAGGACTGCAAGAATGACCCCTTGACTGATTCCTTTGTCTTGGTCTTCTCCTGATGGCTGGGGATGGAGCTGCCTGCGATTGCCTTGCTCTGTGTACACACAGCAGGGATCAATATCCCTGCTGAGAATCCTTCAGACCCCAGCCAAAACCCCGTAATCAGCAGAAACCCTTCTTCACACCCAGTGTGGGCTCTCAAAGACAAATTTTGCCCATCAAAAGCTGAGGACGAGGTTATACTCCAGGAAAGTGAAAAAATCAGGATACTGAGCAATTTTGGTTTTCTTTCTTTTTTGCTAATTCAAAGTTTTAGTTGGTTTTATGAGTTAAAGTCTCAGGGTAGATGTGTGGCCCTGCAGCACTCATGCAGGAATTCAGATGGGTCAGAGCATCGCACAATTTTGAGGAGATGCCGGTGGCTGCTGCTGTCGTGCCAAGCCAAGTGCCTCTGTGTAGTGGCACATGGGGGATCGCTGGTGATACACTGCACATCAGTGATGGCACTGTGTTTTGGCAGCTTCTGGGCTGCCTCATCCAGTGGTGCCTTGTTAACCCACCTGCTAATTAAATAAATCTAATTAGGATCTAAGTTCTATGCGTTTCATTGACTTAGGTCCAAATTCAGCTAAGTTAATGTTTCATCTCATGGAAATAAAGGGTTTTATGGAGGTCTGCAGGAGAATTTTTAATTGGCCTTTAAAGAGTAACCAAAAAACCAAACCTGTTGTCGGGAGACTCAAACTTGGTGCACCTCCACTGGTGTCTACAGTCAGAAGAGCCTGGAGACCACAGCACTGGAGTAAGCGTCTGACTTTCAACATGTGAGTAGCCCCACTAAAACCAGTGAGGCTACTTGGATGCTTAAAGGCAGATCCCCTCTGTGCCCAGGCCTCCCGCTATACCAACGCAGATAAGAAATCATACTGCTGAAGTTTGTAAGATCAGGCTCTGGCAGTTTTAAATCTCTCTCTTTGAAACACAGGTTACGTTATCCCTGTGGTTTCACCCTTCCTCATAAGCAAAGGAGAGCCCGTGTGTTTTCTCTCAGATGCGTGTGGAGCCCCAGCCAACACACGGTTGCCTTTTACTTGGCTTATCAAGATAAAAGCGCAGGCAGCAAAAATCCTGTTTATGTCAAACTTAGTATTTCAGCAGCACTACCTTATACCGTTGCACATGATGTCTCCTTTGTAGTACAACAGAGTTGGAAAATAGCTGTGCTTACGGGAGGTTTTCAGAAGCAGGAGGCGGTACACGAGATGCAGGAGACCTTAAGCAATGGCACAAAGGCAGGTACTAACCTGCGCGGCTGCAGCCCAGCCTTCCCCGTGCTCTTCCCGGCGGTTTCCAGAGCAGGTAACGCAAACCAGCCTGACCCCAGCCTGCTCTCGGCGGGCTTCAGCTCCTGCTTTAACTCTGATGTAGGTTGCCTGACCCTACAGTGCGGAGCGAGATCTCCCTACACAGTTTGTAAGGAATGTTTCATCTGCATTCATTAAAAAAGAAACTGGTCTTTGTTCCTATGGCCTCCGCCATCCAAAAAACATATTCCTGGGAATACAAATACTACCAAAGCTTCTTCAGTCCACGGCTTTCTGGGTGAAGTAAATTGGTTTTTCTCTGGGTGTATTCCTTTCACCTATAATAAAATGTGTTTTATTGTATCTGACTGCATTAATTGATGCCCTGGTTACATTCAGTGCTCAGGTCAGATAATCAATGTACTTTACCATTTAAAACCAGTAGGATTTGTCAGCAATTCAGAGTCTGTCTCCTAATCTTAGCTATTCAGAGTTTGCTTGTTTGTTTGCTCTGTTTCTCCCTGTGGCTGATTTGAATAACAATAACGTTGTTAATATAAGGGTTTTAACATTCATAGCACTTTAGGACTAATCCTGTTTCCTTGGGGTATAGTCAGGCAATGCTTTCCTGGGGTAAAATGATAAAGCCTCTATCCTTTCAGCTACTGTCTCCTTCTCCCACCACTCTATTATTTAAAAGGAAAGTGGAACTGGTCACTCACGGTAGGAAGTCGCACCCTGCTTTGGAGGCCGAAGGAACAGCCTGAGAGTAACAGAGCAAACTGTCGTGCAGCCACAGGAGTCACTGGAGATTGCAAAGAGACGACATCGTCATCAGATGAGTCTCTCCCAAAGCTTCTTATCCTGTTGTGTTGAGCTTAGCAACAAGTCCGTCCCAATCACAGCGCGTGGTGTGTGACCGGCTCCTCGGGCCGACCAGAAACGTGTACGGCAGGGAGGGAGGGAGGGCTGACGTGACCCCATGTCTTCTGGACCTCACTCCTCCTGGAGAGGAGGCAACGTGAAGGACTCGGGTGTGTGAAGGAGGTGGTTGTGTGCTCGTGGATTTGTTCTACTGCTCACAGTTGAAGTAGACTGACTTGCTTTTCTACAGGTGCAGGGTATGTTGGGTGATTCATAGATGGTGCTCAGGTAGAAGCTCTTCTTGGAAGGAGGGAGATGCTCCCCTAGATCCCTCTGCTACTAGTCAGCCATGATTCATTCACAAGCCTGGGTATGTAGTTTAAAATACCCATAAACATATTTTAAATAATTCCCTGCGTTATCCCTCTTTCTGAGTTTGTCTTCCATGTGCACTCGCGCTGACAAATTTTATGAGAAGAACCGCTGTATTTTAGGTTAATTCTAGGCTTCATGATTTTTAGGGGGAGCACCTGCGCGGGGAGAAAGGAGACCGGCGAGTGTGGATGGGGGAGAGCAGCTCCTGATTCCCGTCGCTTAGGATGCCCCATAGGCTCCGTGTCCTACAGAATAGCTTGCCCGTCCAGCACACCCCCCACCCCGCCCCGGCACACACCGGACACCCCCGGCCAGCGGCAGAGCCTGCAAAAACATAAATCAG